CTATGAAAAAGATCTATATTCACATTGTTCCTCATAGAATAATTTGACTAGATAGTTGGCATTGCTAATATTTTTTCATGCCTTAAATGTCCTGGAGATTAATATTTGAAATTGTCTGAATATAAATGCAGTAGTGAAATTCGATGCATCTTCCCTTGCATTCAAGGGGTTCTGAAAAGTTGAAAGATGCACTGGTTTTATTATCCAGAAAAATAAATAAACAAATAAAATAAAAGATGCAATATAGCACATGTTTTCTATTTGCGTATGCACTTCACTCTGGGAAGTAGCTATGTTCTTTCCTTTTAAAGGATGGTTTCAGGAATTGAATTGCTTGCTTCTACCTTTTCTTATCTTTCAATTCATAATATGCATTGCATTGGAATTCTCCTTTAAGGTTTATTTGCCCCAACTCATGTTCCATTGGTGTTTTCTAAGCAGATGTGTGACATATTGTTCTCTCAATTGTGCCTGAAAGTTCTCCCTGCAACTGCAATCCCAAATGGTGAAGGAATGCAAAAAGGTAAAGTTTGTGGTGGAGCGGATGAAAATAAGAAAAATGATAAATGCGATCGCACCTCTCAACTAAATGACTTCCACTGGAATGAATTCATGGAAGAAGCTGATAGCAGATCCAGATCTAGCTACAGCATCAATACTTCTCTGATATGCAAGACAGCATCAATGGCAGCAATGCTTCTCCAAGGACAGGCTATTGTTCCTATGCAATTAGTTGCACGTGTTCCTGCTGCATTGTTTTATTGGCCACTTATTCAACTAGCTGGTGCAGCAACGGACAATATTGCTTTGGGGGTTGCTGTTGTAAGCAAAGGAAGAGGAAATCTTCCTGGTGCAGCATCGGATATCAGGGCAACCCTTCTATTGCTTCTAATTGGTAAATGCACGGCAGATCCTTCTGCTTTCCAGGAAGTTGGCGGAGAAGAGTTTTTTAGGTGATTCCTCTCTTCTCTACTTCCTAGGAATGATTTGCCATGCCATTGTTTAAGTCATGCCAACTCCTTTTGCTTTTTGTTTCTGGCAGGGAACTTTTAGATGATACAGATTCAAGGGTAGCGTATTACTCTTCAGCTTTTCTTTTAAAGGCAAGATGCTATCTTATTCTCACTAGAAAACTTTAATTATTTATTTTTCTAATTATAAGTTGAATTTTGCTGAATCCTTCAAATCTGAATTTTTCAGAGAATGATGACAGAAAAGCCTGATGAGTACAAGCACATGCTTCAGAATCTCATCTTTAAAGCACAGCAGGTAAGGCTTTATTTGTGCTTGAAATAATGCAATTCTTAAATATGGTATGCTCATTGTCTGGGAAAAGATATACGAGAGAATGAACTGGGTATGTTTGTCTCTGGTCATAATGTCTGAGAAGTGAGCAATGTATGGCCATTTTCGTGTTTAAAGTACTGACATAGAATATCTACAAGCTGTCATAAAGTTTCATTATGACCAGAGGTCAAACATGTCTAGTTCTGGTGTATTTCAGTAACTCTAAACATGAAATACCAGAGGTCAAACATCGCTTGTGTGCTTGCTTTTGTTTTATGCAGAGCAACAATGAGAAGCTGTTGGAAAATCCGTACCTTCAGGTGCGCGGCCTGCTTCAACTCTCAAATGATGGCTTGTAATATAGTGACTCTCATAGACACTGCAATGCTGTGTAGTTTGAAGTTCTTTACTCTTGTCACACGTGATCTTTCACTCACCCGGGGACATTTGACAAAGTCTTGAAGGTCCATAATCAGATCATGCCTGGTCTTTTGAAATAACACAGGTTGGTATCTGTTATATGGAAATACTTCAACCGGGCAAAATATTTGATTAAAGTGGAGTACAAGGTTCCAGATCTCCTCCCTGACATACCAATGAAATAAATTAAAAAAAAGGCTCAGGGTAACAGTGAAATAAGAAAAAAAGGCTCAGGATACAAGATGAAAGCTGAGAAATCGCTGTGGACCTTATAGGGTCCAAGATCAACTGCGTCTTCAATTGTCGCACCAATTCTCCTAAGATGAGCATGCATTGAAAAGACTGAAGGATTTTTTGATTGGTGTACCAAGTTGAAATATATGCAGCAAGCACTAAAAGATTGGCCAGAGTAAAAGATGTTCAGGAACTTTTTGGAGTAACCCTGTTCAATGGTTCTGGTACTTGGTTTTTTTGCCACTAAAATCTAACAGAGTTCAGAGGTTTAAAATATTATCAGGTATTGTCTTCAGTCCTCAATTATTATCGCTATTTGTGTATTTTTCACTTGTTTATTGTGCTTCTGAATACCACATCTTCGTCTTTGCGTGTGATGAAACCATATAAGTTGTTTTTAGGTTCATATTGAAGGGCCATTTTCAAAATATAATTGTATCTGTTTAGGGCTTGAGACCATGTTGGTAGGAGCGCTAAAGCGATCACTCTCTGCAAAGATTCTGAAAGATAGCTCTATTTCTGTAGTTCCTAGACCACGGCTTGGCAGTGGCACAGTAACTCAAGAGCCTGTTTGGCATGACTTATTAAAAGTGACTTTTGACTTTGAGTTATAATTCAGAAGTTGATTTTATAAGTAACTTGTGACAAAATAAATTAAAATGACTTTAAATTAGATCTTTTTGAAGAACAATCTTTTTGAAGAAAAGATGTGGTACATGTCAAAATCCACAAGTTAAATTTAATTAAATCAGAACTGACTTAATTTTATAACAAATTTTTCATTCAAGTCAATAGTCATTTCTAGCTAGCATATTTATGACTTTTCTATGAATATTTTTTTTAAAAAAAAAAACCTTAAATCAATTGATAAAAGTCATACCAAACGGAACTTTAGTAATGACTTTTTTTGTATGTCCAAACCTGTAAGGAAATCATTATAGATGCTTGACAACTTCAATAGAACTTGCATATTTCATGTCATGGAATTTGAGTTGAAGAGAAAAAATTCTTCTGTGCTTTAATGTTGTCATGTACCTGCACTAACGAATGCATTCTTTTATGTGGTTGCAGTAATTGTGTGCATAATATTTAGAGAAGGCTTTCAGGCAGCTTCAAATCAAGTCTAAATTCCTCTTTGTACAGAATCAGGATTCCTCTGGGCCTTTTTTTTTTTGGGTACCCGAGGCAGTATTAAAAATACAGGCTTCTTTTTTTAAACAGCCAACATTCTTAGTTCGTTTTTAACTCATAAGAGGTTTATCAATTTTGTTGTGAAGAGACGCCCTGGGTTATGGATGCTCAGTGACCAGGACCTGAAGGTGCTGGCTGGCCTGTATCACAAAGCTCTCCAGCTGCATTGTTTAGGAAATGTTGTGATTTGGACCGTCTCCAGAGTGGGTTTCTTTGCATGTGTTACTGATTTTTTATGTTGTAAATATGTAATTTTTCTCTTTATGGCGGGCCGCCTCAAACCTGGTGTGATCTTTTGTATAATGGCTTTTGTGAAATGTTGCCCTTTACTGAGTCTATGGTGTGCGAGTTGATTTAAATAAAAAGATTCAGTTCTCGGCTCTTCTTATGTTCACCATATCATTTGTGTAAACATGGGTCATGATTGATGCAAGAATCCATGTCTCTAACTAGTTCATAACACCTCGGAACACGTAATTTATACCTGTCTATTCCGTGGTTGATTAGGGTTCCCTTCACCATCTGATTTTCAGCAGTGTTGTAGAACTTGCACAGAATTTCATTTTTCTTGATACGCAACTTCAAAGCAGCTGCAAAATTGCATATTAGTGGATCTCTACAGGGGAGGAATTGTTTCTGTAAACTAATGATAGGTGGCAAGATATAGTGACCTCTGGCTCCATGTCCCTGTGGGAGGATGACCCTGTGTGTCTCCAGCGATGAGGTTATTTTTTAAATTTTTTAGTGTTTGTTTATCATTAGAAAAATTAGTTAATGAAAAATAGTTTTTGATTAATAAAAAATACTTTCCAGTCAATAGAAAATATTTTTCAGTCAATAGAAAATATTTTCTAGTCAATAAAAAATATTTTTCAGTCAAAGAAAAATTTGGCTTGATTTTCAGAAAAGTATTTTTTTTTAGCTATGTTTGTTTTTTAAAAAGTGATTTTTAGAAAAATACTTTTCAAATTTTTTTATATTTGTTTGTTGTTAGGAAAGTTGGTAAATAGAAAATATTTTTCAATTAAAGAAAAATTTGACTTGATTTTCAGGAAAGTGTTTTCCTAAAAAATTTGAGCGGAAAACACTTTCCGGAAGTTGTGAAAAATTTAGAAATGTTATTATTTACTAATTATATCAAATTTGATCCTCAAACTTTTGATTGTTATATATATTTTGTTTTGAATATTTATTTTTCAATATGATTTTTTAAAATTTAATTTTTATATTAACTTTGGTCCTCATTTTTATAATTGTTATTTTCTTTTCTCATGTTATTTTTTTATTAAAATGTTTTATCTATCAAATTTGATACTTATTCTTTTGATTGTTACTTATTTGATTTGAAATACGTTATGAAATGTTAATTATTATTATTTTAATTTCTTCATCTTTTTTTTTTAGATTTGATCTTTATTATTTTGATTATTATTTATTTTATTTAAGATAATTTATAAAATTATATTTTTTTTCAATTCCATTATTATTCAACTTTTTAATTTGTAAGATTTATTCCTCATTATTTTAATAAACTTGAAAAAAATAAAACATTAATAAATTATTTTTTAGTTTATTTTTCATAATATAACCAAACATTAGAAAGTATTTTCCAGTTTATTTTTCATAATACTATCAAATATAAAAAAATAATATACTTTTTATAAATTTATTTTTCCTTAAATTTATTTAAAAAAAAAAACAACCGCAAACAAACAGAACCAGAACCGAAATAGACATTCCTTCGAAACGCCTTTGCACCACGGATTTGATGATCATGCACCGAGTTTCCATTACAATGTAAAATGAGGCTTTACAGGTGTTTTGAACTACAGAAGCCGTGGGATAACGACTCTCAAACTACAAAAAAATAATGCGAAACGAACCCAGCAAAATGAGCCGCACCGTTCACATTAAGATAAATATATGGAAGAACAGGTAACAAGAACCATAAAGGTGACAATTTAATGGTTCACGTCTCTCACAAAACCATTTTAATGTAAAATATTGACAGTCAGAACAATGGGTTCAGTAATTTCAAGGTTTTTATCCTGCAGCATAAATGATAAAGCACCAACTATCGAAAGCGCATATTCCAATCAAAATGTTGATGTTAAATGAAACTATTAACCAAGGGTCCCTAGTTATACCATGATCCTATGAAGCGACGTGCTTATATCGAAGTTCCTATTCCTGCCCCAAAATGGCCAGTAATATCCTCGACTAGTCAGTGAAATCACTTTAATTTCATGGCTTCAAGGTGGTACCTGTCCAGGTCAAAATCAAGTGCTTCTGCAGTAAGCTTCTCGACATGGTGTCTCCCTGGCTGTGGCCCCTGGCCAATCCGCTGCATAACCCCTTCTCCTTGCACCAATTCTTTCTTGAACACTGTCCGGTGAAAAATTGAAGATTTGTTTATCGAGACAAGAAGTGTTGTACTGCTAACAATAATAGCAGATGTACAGAAGATTAAAGAATACCACTCCATAATTCAAAGATCACGTGCATTAAAATACCAAGGGAAACACCAAGATGCAAATTCCCCTGAAAACCAAGGCCACTTCCAATAGAGAAATGCAAGGCGTGATATCATCGACAACAAAATTGGATACTTATAAACCCTGGAGCGAAGTTTATTCCTTATTAGTTTTCTCCCCTTTCCTACCAGTCACTGTGAGATGCTATGTGGTGTTATTCTAACCACTTCATGAGTTATGTTGCTCCTTTGCATCATGCATGCATGCAAATATTGCTGATGCAATTACATCATGCCACTGGTTAGCACTTTTAAACCTTTTTTTCTTCCCTAGTTGAAGAAAGAAAATTTAACGAGTCAATCAAACATTCCCAGATTCTCTTCAAGAAGAAGCAACCTGAACACCTTATATATGCAACCGTACAGTGCTCTAGTGATCAGGAAAAGAAATCAGGGTACGTGTTAGGGAGCACTTGAATCAATCGGATCTATCAACACAGATAATTCATTTTGAGGTGATTCCATGCTAGTGAATAACAAAGTTTAAAGCAAACTTTATATATATATATATATATATATATATATATATATATAGA